GACTGGGCCCTTGATTGCTGTGTGGTTTTAGACAAGTTACAGGGCTTCTCTGGGCCTCATTTTCCTCAATTGAATTATGGGGGGGAAATCACCTTTGTCCCTACTCAGGCCCCATCCCCCGCCCCCTCCCCGAATCCCCAGAATCAGATGCTTTAGAAAGCGGGTTTTTCAGAGTGTCCTGGAGGGGTTAAGAGTTATTCCTGACCTAGGCGGGATGCTTTCCTTCACCTTCTCGTGGAGGGGGTACAGAAAGCCTGTCAGGGCCTCCAGGACCAGCACACAAGTGACATCTAGTAAATAAATGTTTGTGGATCTGTTGAAGTTCCATACTGGGGAAGTCAGCAGGTTTGAGGTCTGTCCCCAACCCTTATGGTACCACGCCCAGTGATCCCTGAGTCTTTTGGTATCCTTGCATCTGTGGTGTAATGGGAGAGCAGGGCTCTGTTCTCACTTCAGGAGGAGGAAGAGTGAGGTTCAGCAGTCAAGGACTGACGGGGCCAGAAGCAGGGATTCGGAATCCAGAGCATCTTGTCCCTGATGTGATGAAAGAAGTAGCCAGAGCTGAGGCATGTGTTCCCTCCTCATCCCTGCTAGACCCCTTGTAGCCTTGTGGATAGGGGACTGGGCGACTGATGAATTGTGGAGGTGTGGAGTTCATGGGCGGCATGAACCCAGTCGGCCTGAAGCTGTGAGTGGGCTGTCAGAGTGTGAGTATGGTTTGGGTTTTGAGTGAATGAGCACAAGCCTGTGAGTGTATGTGTGGGTGTTTGAGTGTTCTCTAGCCACCTGGAGCTACTGTGGCCAAAGGAAGTGGCTAGACCTTGGGAAGCTGGGTAGAGGGACCCCAGAGCAGAGGAAGGAGAAGCCAGGTCCCTTTGTACACCAAGCATACCTCAAGTGGAGAAAATTCAGCTGACACCTTTGGGATCACATGGGGGATAGAGCTAGGGCTCCTCCCTCACATGCCCCCACCACATCGGGCCCACCAAGTGGTAGAGTCAGACTGGGGTACATCTTCTTAGGCCTTGAGTGTTAGGGGTGAGGTGTTGTAAGACCTCCAGAGAGAATAGCGTGAGATGGTTAGAGGCTCAATGAGAGGTGAGACTTCTGTGAAAGGGTTGGGGGTTAGTAAGAGACACTGGAGTTCAGGGAGGGGCGGAGGGCCTCTATGGGTCAGCGATGGAAGCCTCATAGAGGGGATGGGGCACAGCCGGGCTGAGACTTGTGCCATGCCCCTGGCCACCTCGGAGCCCTGAAGAGTAGCCGGAACTCTTGCAGGACGGTGGTTTCCTGGGGCTGCCCAAAGTCCCAGTTCCCTCTTTCTTGAAATCCCCCAGGCGACTGAACCAGCTCAGCCCTCCCACCTCACCCTGGGAACTTCTTTTTCTCCCCCCCCCCACCCCGCCCCGCCCTCCCGCTCCCCCTCCCTGGGCCTTGGAGGGGCCTTCCTCAAGGGAAAGGAGCGGAAGTGAAAGTTCTCTGAGCACCAGCTGTGCGGTGCTTTCACATTTGATGCTCAGAAGCAGCCCCACGAGGTGGAGATTTATATTCCTATTTGCTAGGTGAAGAAACTACAGCTCAGAGAGGTGAACCGACTTCCCCAATGTCTCAAACTAGTTGTCAGGCCATGGAGAATTAAGCTTAAATCTGTCTCCAGGTCCCACAGATACTTGGCAGGGGTTGGGGGGAACAGGACGTCCTCTGTCTACATTAAAGCCCTGATGCGGCTTCGGGAAGCGGGGACCTCAAGAAAGGGTGGGTGTGCCTGGGGCTCCTATGTTCTGGAGCAGGGCTAGGTCTGAAGCAGGCTCCCTGCCCAGTGGCCAGCTGCCATATGGCAGGGGAGCTACGTTCCCTTAGCCATGGGCTGGAAATATGACGTAAACTCGTCAGGGACAGTGTGACCTCCTGCGCAGGCTCTGAAGAACACAGCCACGGTGTGAACTGAACTCTGGACCTGAATTAATGGGCCTGGCTTTGTATCCCCTGTGGGGCTGTCTGATTTTGAGCAAGTCACTTTCCCCTCTACACATCAGAGGGAAGTGAACTGATAAATGGTCCATGGGGGGCATTCTAGCTTTGCCGCTTAGGGTTTTCAGCCTCACTTGGCCACTGCACACGGGCCAAGAGGCATGTCTCTTCAAGCCTTCCCCACAACAGAAGGTACAGATGCAAAAACAGGCTTGGAGAGCTGATAGCCTTCATCCAGGGTCCCAGGCTAATAATGTAACAGAAAGAACAGGGATGCCCGGCTGGCTCAGTCAGTAAAGCACCTGACTCTTGATCCAGGAGTCATGAGTTCAAGTCCTACTTGGGGCAGAGAGCTTACTTTAAAAAAAAAAAAAAAGTGGGCGCCTGCGTGACTCAGTGGGCTAAAAAAAAAAAAAAAAAAGTAAAAGAATAGGGTTGGGGAGGGCCACACGGATAGAGATGTTGAAGGCAGGAGCACCCTGGTCCAGGGGTGGACCTCAGCTCAAATACCTGCAACCTGATTTTGATACAGATGAGGCTCTGGAAACTAACTCCTATCAACCAGGTGTTTAAGAGGCATAGACAGACCCAAGTCTCCACAGTGACCAAAATGCTCATGGCTTCGCCTCTCTGGGCTGCAATGAGGACTGAGAGCAGGTAGCATAGGGCCTGGCACGTTGTAGGTGCCCTTGAAGGGACACACATTATTGCTTCTACTAGGGCTACAAAATAGAACTGTGCTTAGAATGGCTTGGTGTTGCATTTTTGCCTCCCCTTACTTGCTGTGTGATCTTGGGGAAGTTACTTAACATCTCTGAGACTCAATTTGCTTATCTGTAAAAGAAGGGTAGTTATGAAAGCTCCTTCCTAGGGTTATTAATGAGATCATATGTGGGAATTGCTTGGCACAATGCCAGGCACTGGGTAAGTATTTAATAAATTAGAAAATTTTAGGCCAATAGTTATTGCCACCCAGACTTCTAGGAAGTCAAATGACTCTCGGCAGAGTTGGTGGCACCGCTTAAGATCCAAGGTGGGTGAGGAGGGAGAGTCCTGGGGGCTGTCTGTCTGCTGATGCCTGAGCACAGAGAACCCAACCTGCTTCTTCTGCCTTCTCTCCTCTGCCTTTGACTCTTTGGTTCCCCGAGTTTCTCTTAATTTCTACCTTTCTCTTTTTTGGTCTGTGTCTCTCTGTTGTCTTTCTATTTCTCGTTTCTGTCTCTGTTTGTCTCTTTCTTTTTATTCCTTCCTAGCAGTGAGCTCCTGGAGCCTGTGAGCCTGGGCTCTGGTGAGCTGATTGCATGAACCTCTCCCCACCCCTGCGCTCAAGAAGTCACCTCGGTTACTTGAAATCAGCCATGGTGGGAATATTTATACAACGGAAATCAGCAAATGCTACAAGTCAGGGCCTTTTTTTTCCTTTGAGAAATGCCAGCACACCACACTGTGTTTTTCTTTTCTCTCTGTATCTCTCAGTCTCCGTCTCTCTCTCTCTCTCTCTGCCTTCTCTTTCTCCGTCTCTCCCATCTCTTTCTTTCCTCTGACAAAGTCGGGTGAGTGTGGTCACATCCAGTGTGCCCCCCTACCAATGCCTTGGACCATGCGGATGCCAGACCCTGTGCCCCACTCCCTCACCCCACACCCCCCAACCCCGTCAGCATACCGGTGCCCAGAGAGCCATGCCTAGCCCTGGACTTCGGTCCCCAGCAGGCCGAGGAGTACCACGTCCCGAGAGCTGGTCCCCACTGCCTGTTCCTCACACTGTCCACCCTGTCAGGGCTCTACCTCAGCCCACAGAGACCTCTACCTCCTTCTCAGAAGCTCACAGTTTGTAAACAGCCCCCCCCACCCCAAACCCATTTCAGGCATGCAGCATGTGGGACTCCTGTTAGGCTGACTTAAAAATGGGGGGGAGGGGCGCCAGGGTGGCTCAGTGGGCTAAAGCCTCTGCCTTCGGCTCAGGTCATGATCCCAGGGTCCTGGGATCAAGCCCCGCATCCGAGCCCCACATTGAGCCTACAGCCTACTTAAAAAAAAGAATTAAAAAAATAAAAATGTGGTAATATTTATCTGGGTGTTTTCGGACGTGGCAACCTTGTATCTATGTGGGGACCCAAGAGGTTGTACTCCGGGTCTCAAAAAAAAAAAAAAAAATCCGTGTCTCTTTTAGGGAGGTGCTCTGTATGGGTCTATGACTTGGGAGAGGACTCTATATCTCTGTGTGTCCCTCTGGGTGTTCTGTGCCTCTGTGCATGCTGGCAGGAATGGCTGTCATTATTCGTTTCTGTGACCAGGCGATGGAGAGAAGTGGCTCAGGTTCTGGAGCCAAATGTCAGGATTCATCATGTGTGCGACCTCAGGCTGGTCTCTCAAGCTTGCCGTGCCTCAGTTGCCTTATCAATAATAGTCATACGTCAGAGTGTCGTTATGAGAATAAAATGCAATAACGTATGTCAAGTGTTTAGTGCTGTGGTCAGCCCCTCGTGAGAGCTATAAATCCTGTCTGTGCTGTTCTCATGGAGAGGCGTGTGCCGTGTGTGTATGTGCACCTATGCGTGTGGGTGGGTGAGGGCCGGCGGTGTCGGTGAGGGGGATGTGGCTATTCTCGAAGATGTCCGTGTGTAAAGGAGCTCAGAGTCTCTGTGAGGTGCGTCCAAGAATGTGTCAGGAGGCTGTGTGGATCTGGGTGTAGGCCCGGGGATCCATTTGCGATGGGTCGTTGTCTTCCTGTGAGAAGACCTCATTCTCACCCTGTAACCTTTGTTTTCTTCTTACACCCATCTGTCTCCTTGCCGCCTGAAATCCCTTCCTTCCCTGGGCCCTGGATGCCCCCATCTCCACTTATATCCTCTCTCTGGCCCTGACCAGCCCTCCGTGTCCTGGGGCCTTTCAGACACAGTGGCTGCACCCCAGGGGAGGGGTCCTGAGGTGAAGATCTCAGCAATGGCTTAGTGAACACAGGCTATTTTAGTTCTCACCACAGCCCGCCTCGCAGTTCGCCAGATGGGTGTCACTCCCCTACACACACCGGAGAACAGTTACAGTGAAGAGTGAAAGGGGCCGGCGGGTCGAGAGTAGAGGTTAGGACACCGATGTGACAGAGCCATTGGCGAGGCGGCTGGATCCGGTAGAGCTAGGAAGGCTTCCTGGAAGAGGTGAGCAAGCATATGCAGTAGGAGGAGCAGGACACAGAGAGAAGGGGAGGAGGATGTCCATAAGGGAGCTGGACTTGGGGGTCAGGAAAGGCAAGGAGGGGGGCACTTGTCACAAGGGTCCTCAGCCCCTCTGGGGGAAGTCAGGGTTCACTGGCCCCGCCCTACTACTCTCCATTCCTCTCACATCTTAAGAAACCCTCTCCCCGGCAGTTCCTCTCTGAGTGTTGCAATGGCAGAGTTTCTAGTGGGGCGTGGGGAGCCCTTGCTCAATGACCTGCCTGTCCTGTGGCTCAGAGGATGTAGCTTTTGGGAAAGTCTCGGCTCATGTAGGGGGGCTCCCCAAGGAATCCTGGTGGCTCTGGCTTCTGACCTGGGCCTTTCCCTGATGCGGGGATAGGAGTGAGCTGTGGAGGTAGGTGTCCACCTTCGCCTTGCCACTAGGTGTGACCCTGGGACCGTTGGGGATCACAGAGCTCAGGGTGGGAGCAGAGCCGGCCTGCAGTGACGGGGGTGCCTGGGAGGGAGCCGAGCGTAGTGTAATAGAAATCCAACAAAAGCGGTGGGTCAGACACAGTTAAGTATCTGAGGAGGCGTCTGTCACCCTGAGAGGTAGCCTGTGTGCCTGCACATGTGTGTATTCGTGCGTCAGAGCTTGGCCTCGCGTGAGAGTTCAGTTGTGTTAGTGTGTTGGTGTTGTTGGTGAGCACACTCACTCAAGTGTCCACTGTGGGTGTTGGTGTGTGACTCTGTGCTGGTGTGTGTGCGTGTTGGTGAGCTGGTGTGTCAGGTGGCTATGAGTGTGAGAGGGTTGGTGTGGGCGGTGTGTCACGTGTGAGGGTGGATGTGTAAGTTCGCCAGGGGCGGTGGGAAGGAAAGCGGAGGCAGAAGTCATGCTGGGACAGAGCCCAGGCCTGGCTTCCTGAAGAGGGCAGAAGCTGGCAGCTTCCCCTTCCATGTCCTTCTCTCTCGCCCTCAGGTCTCTGGCCCCTCCCGAGGACCATGCCGCAGCCCCGCTGACCCAGCAGTAGGGGCCTGAGGGTGAGCGGGGAGGGGAGAACTGAGGGCTTTGGAATAGGGGTCAGGAAAAGGGGTGGGGTGGCCTTCCTGAGCCCCACAACTCATCCCAGCCCCCTCCTCCTCCAAGAGCCCTGTTGCTAGGTAACAGATGGGGGAGCCACAAAGAGGCAGCTTGAGAGGCCAGAGGCTGGACCCACAACAGGAAATGGCCTTGATCCCCCTCTGCAGGGAATCTCCAGATGCAGACACACAGAGCCTCACACACACTCACACACAAACCTGTCTCGAGACCCGGACACACACATCACAGAGACGTTCACACACACTCCCATACAAAGACCTGCATACGCACACACACACACACACACACACACAGGCACATACACTCCCACACAGGGCTATGCACGTTGTCATACACATGGACACAGAGGCACCTACGCACGCAGACCACCTGATACACACATGCATACAGAGGAACACACATACGCGCTTGCACAGAAACAGCGTATGCACGTACACACTCAGAAGACATGAACACACACAGAGCCATCACATGCCCAGAGACACGCACCCACACCCATATACTCACATAGACACACAAACATTCACAAGAGGCTGCACATGCATAGACATATCCACGGGGAACTCACAAATACTTAGAGACACACAAAGAGACAAGCATATCCAAGCACTCTGAAGAAGTCACAAAAACACGATGTACTGAAGCAAGAGGAGGCAAAAATCGATCGATAAACACGGCAGCAGCCCAAAGCAGAAAACCAGCGCACTAAGGGTATACAGTCTGTCTGCAAACCTACGACAGCAGCTGGGACGTAGACCCAAAGGTAGCCTCGCCTCACCTTTACCCTTTGCCAGGGCGGACCCCAGAGGGGAAACTGCACGCCCATGTGAGTGTGCGTGTGCACGCGTGCATGCGTGTGTACACGGGCAGGGGACCTATCTGGCAGGGGCCCCAGAGTGAGGCATACCCCATTCTACAGCAGGGCACCTGGAATGGGCTGTGTGTTCTGCAAGAAGTTGGAGCCAGGGCTCAAGGAGGATGTTGGCCTGGAAAGTGACTTCAGGGGCAGTGGGGCCGCGGACCGCTATGGCCCTGACCCAACTCAGGCCCGGACTGTGTCCTCCTTTGCCCATATCCCCAACTACAACTTCTCCACTCAGTCCACCAACCCCGCCTTTCTCGATGGGAGCACCATCAGGGGCATCTCAGGTGAGTCTAGTGGGCTGGAGGCAAGACCTATCTGGCCCCTGGGGGAAAGGGAGGCATCGTTAGGACGCTCGAGTATAACGTGGGAGACACTGCCCTGCTTTCAGAGCATGGTCTGAGGAAGAATGTACAGCTCTACCTCAGAAATCCCAGCCTGAGGAGAAGACAACTCTGTTCCCATCTGAGAGAGGGCCCCTGATGACAGGACAAAGCGGGGAGTCTTGGTGGGGAAGAGGAGGAATGGGTGACGGGAACTCCCCAGGGTGGGAGGGATGGTCTGGAAGTCATGTGTCCTGAATCCATGGGAGGCCAAGCTGTGAAGCTCAAATCAGAAATCCACTGGACTCCAAAGGCCTTTGGGCACCAGGCGCTGCAGCCATGGGGAGGCACAGAGCCTGGTTGGGGAACAGGACTCTGGGGGGTGCAGGCCCCTTGGAGCCTGCATCCCGTGCCCTACTCTGCTGAGTAGCCCTGACTCTGCAGGGACTGGGGTGACCCTGTTCGTCGCCCTGTATGACTATGAGGCCCGGACGGAGGATGACCTCCCTTTCACCAAGGGTGAGAAGTTCCACATCCTGAACAACACGTAAGTAACCAGGCCACCTGGCGCAGGATGTGGCCGGGGCTGGGAGCAGGACCCAGAGAGGAATCCTGCCTGGTCCCTCAGAAAGCAGTCTAGTTGGGGACACAGATACATGACAAGAACAACTCTGAGTAATCACTACTATGTAGGGGGAGCATGAGGACATATGGGCCCAGAAGGAACACTAAATATGGTCTTGAGGCTAGTGATCAAGGCAGGCTTCCTGGAGGAGGTGATTTCTAAGGGGAGACTAGAAAAATGAATAGGTGTTGAAGGAAGAGGCAAGAAAAGAGGAAGAGAGAATGAGAGAACACGAGAATAAATGATAACTTCTAGAAACCACCAAGTGGTTTGGTCTTGGTGGATCATAAAGTATGAGGTGTAGAATGGACAGAGCAGAAACTACAGAGGCAGGGGAAACAGATTCTATAGAGGTTTTTAAGCCATATTGAAGAATTTGGATTTTATCCAAAAGGAAATATATTGTCCTTGTGGGTAGGGGAGGATTTCAGTGGGAAAGTGACTGAGTTACCTGTCCACTGCCCACCCAAACCCCAGCCCAGCTAAGGAGCCAAAGACGAAAGCCAGGAGGCCCACACGTCCCCAGACATGTTGCTTCTGCAGGGAAAAGTCTCCTGAGGTAGCTTCGGTGGCTGAGAGCAGAACAGACAAGAGCCCGGGGTGGCGGCGGCGGGGGGTGGGGGGGGCTGTCCAAGGTGAGGGGCTGGCAGGGCTAGTCTTCTCCTGAGCCTTCGCATGCCCCTGCCAGGCTCCAGGGTGCTCCAGGGGGCTGGGCTGCCATTGATGCCCTATGTCCTGTGTCTGCAGTGAGGGTGACTGGTGGGAAGCTCGTTCTCTCAGCTCCGGACAAACTGGCTATATTCCCAGCAACTACGTGGCCCCTGTGGATTCCATCCAGGCTGAAGAGTGAGTAGGGGGTAGGAGGTGGCTATCCCTATGGACAGGACGGGAACCTGGCATCCAAAGACACCTCTGGGTCACAGCCCCACTCTGAGCCTATCTTCTTACCTATATTTCTGTGAGGTCATTGTGAGAATAAGGGAAGAGAATAATGATGTTTATGAGAGTAAATAGTATTTATGTACCATGTTCTATGTTGCAGGCACTATTCAAAGGGCTTTCTGTGTATTAGCAGAGTGAGGAACTAATATTATCCTGCTTTATGAATGAAGCAGGTGAGGCACAGAGATATTAAATATTCTACCTGAGTTCACATGGCTAGTAAGTCGGTGGAGTTTGTATTTGAACCCAGATAGTCTGAGGGCACTTGCTAAGCATTATACATATTGACTCTCAGTGATAACAACAGCATACGAGTTTTAGAAAATTGTAAAACCCTAAACCAACACAAGGGGATATTACTTAGAATTAACTCTGTTAAAGGGGCACCTGGGTGGCTCAGTTGGTTAAGCATCTGACTTTTTTTTTAAGGTTTTATTTATTTATTTGAGAGAGAGAGAGAGCATGAGAGGAGAGAGGTCAGGCGGAGCAGCAGACTCCCCGCTGAGCAGGGAGCCTGATGATCCTGGGACTCCAGGATCATGACCCGAGCCAAAGGCAGTCGCTCAACCAACTGAGCCACCCAGACACCTTTTATTTATTTATTTTTTTAAAGATTCACTTATGTATTTTATTTTGTTTTATTTATTTATTTATTTATTTATTTATTTATTTATTTTTGAGAGGAAGGAAAGCAGTCTCCCTCCTAAGCAGAGAACCCAGTGCGGGGCTCAATCCCAGGACCCTGGGATCATGACCTGAGCCGAAGGCAGAGGCTTAACCCACTGAGCCACCCAGGCACCCCACATTTATTTATTTTAGAAAGAGAGAAAGAGAGCACGAGCAGGACAAGGGGCAGAAGGAGAGGGAGAGTGAGAGAACAGACTTCCTACTGAGCTCGGAGCCAGATCCCATGACCCCGAGACCACGACCCCAGCTGAAACCAAGAGTCAGACACCCAACAGACTGAGTCACCCAGGGGCCCAGCATCTGACTCTTGATTTCGGCTCAGGTCATGATCTCAGGCTCCTGGGTCAGAGCCCTGCATCTGGCTACAGCTGAGCGGAATCTGCTTGTGTCTCTCCCTCTACCCCTTCCCCCACTCACACACCTGTGCGTGCTCTCTCTTGCTTGCCATCTCTCAAATAAATAAATAAATCAAATCTTGGCGGGGGAAAGAATTAATTCTGTTAATGAGACCAGAAATTATCATTCATAGTGTACCATTATAACCTGAGATATGACAACAGGGACTTTACATACCTTTAGTCATTTAATTCTCCTAGTTACAATATCGATATTATTGTTGTCCCATTTTACAGATGAGAAAACCAGGGCTCATAAAAACCTTTTTTTTAATCTGTGCATATATATATATATATATATATATATATACATGAAAAGAAAAGATTGGAGAGACTGCAGAGTGGGAGTCACCAGAAGTTGGTGACTAATTTGCCATTGCGTTTGGGGAGTGGGAAGAAATCAAGGGTGACCCAAAGTCTTCCTGAGGAACTGAGTGGGTGATGGTGTCATTTGCTAAAGTGGGGAACGTATGAGTAGGTATAGGTGTCTGGGTTCTGGTGGGGGGACTTGTTGGGTTAAGGTTCGCAGAGAGTAACACCTTGGTGGAAGACTGCCAGCAATAGGATTTGGCTGTGCTTTGTTTTTGTTTTTGTTTTTTTTAAGATTTTATTTATTTATTTGACAGACAGAGATCACAAGTAGGCAGAGAGGCAGGCAGAGAGAGAGAGGGGGAAGCAGGCTCCCCACTGAGTGGATAACCCGATGTGGGGCTCAATCCCAGGACCCTGGGATCATGACCTGAGTTGAAAGCAGAGGCTTTAACCGACTGAGCCCCCCAGGTGCCCCTCAGCTGTGCTTTGTAGGAGAGGCTCGGGACCCAGGCAAGCTAGGCCGCTGAATTAGCCCAGAGGAAGGGGCATCTTTTCCTAGTTGGCACTAAGGCTCTTTGTTTGCTATGGCTCTTGCAGAGGGAACCCCTGGGTATTCTTCAGAGTGGAGGTGACAAAGCTACATGGGAGGGTGAAGGATGGGGAGGAGAGCGAGAGAGAGATTGGCTCTAGGACCCAACTTTGGAGAAAGCTGCCTTGAAGGAGAAGTTGCTGTTGAAAAATGAGGCCAAGCCAAGTCAGAACAGCCAAGAGGGTGGAGGAGAGGTTGCAGGAAACACAAAGGGAGTGTCAGAGGCTGCCACTGGATTTGGCAATGGGGGTGACCTTGGTGAGAGATCTCTCTGTGTGAAGTGGGGGTGGGGACCAGACAGCAGAGCCTGGGGTGTGGGGGGTGGGTAGGAGGTGAGGAAGTGGAGACCCAAGTGTGAAGTGCTTTTTCAAGTGAAGGGAAGGTGAGAGATAGAGCAGAATGTTGGTGGCAAGTTAGAGCTTAGGAAAAGTTTTGGGTGGGGGAGGAAGAAATGGGGGCATATGTAGAGGTTGGTGGGATAGAAAGGCTGTGGGGGGGGGGGAAGGGACTGGTTGGTAGGGGAGAGGTGTCTCTGAGCAGAGGGGAGTGGTTGGGGTCCTGAGCCCAAAGGCCTTCATCTGGGGAAAGTGGTAGGAGTCATGAGGGAGGGAAGGGGTGATGATGCAGAAAGTGGGAGGTATTGGGGGTTCATGCTTGCATCCACAGCTTAGAGGCAGTGTCACGAAGCCCTGAGAGGCACTCAGTGTAGTGTCATGGCTAAGAGCAGTGTTGTGGTTAAGAGTGCAGGCCCTCGAGCAGACAACTTGCGTTCCTATTCTGGCAACACAGTTTAAGAGCGTGTAGCCTTGGGCAAGTTGCTTAACCACTAGTAATCTCTATTTCCTCATCTGTCTAGTGGGGCTTAATAATAGGACCTTCCTCACAACGTTGTTGTCAGAACTAAATAAATACTGGGGTGCCTGGGTGGCTCAGTCGGTTAAGCATCTGCCTTCGGCTCATGTCATGATCCCGGAGTCCTGGGATTGAGTCGCGCTTGGTGGGTTCCTGCTCAGAGGGGAGTCTGCTTCTCCTTCTCCCTCTGCTGCTCCCTCTGCTTGTACTTCTCTGTCAAATAAATTAATAAATAATCTTAAAAAAAAGAACTAAATGAATATAATATGTATTAAAGCAGTGCATGACAGAAAATAAGTACCGCTATTATTAAGTTAATTATTAAGGAAGTAACTACTATCAAGGGTATTATGGGTGGGGTCAGGGCTTTGAAAAAACTTGGGAGCGTGTCCCATTTACACAGTCCTTCAACAGTTCTTCCTTCCCCATCCTTCCTCGTCGCCTGGACACGCCACTTGCCAGTGCCTTCCCTGTTCCCCAAACTGTGCATAGTACCTAGGTGTGGACTGGCCTATATATTTATTTTAAAGAATTTATCTATTTATTTGAGAAAGCGAGAGAGCATGAGCACATGTGCGCATGCGCACACGCAAGACGAGGAAGAGCAGGGAGGGGAAGAATGTACGCATGCATGCATGGGGAGGTGTTGGAGGGAAGGAGGGGCAGAGAGAGAGGGAGAAGCAGACTCCTCAAAGAGCAGGAAGCCCAACACGTGGAACACATGGCTCTATCCCAGGACCCTCCAGATTATGACCTGAGTCAAAGGCAGACGCTTAACCTTAAGCCACTGATCCACCCAGGTGCCCCATACTGGCCGATTTAGTAATCAAAAGACATCTGAGTCTGCTATGACACTTGTGGAGCCCCTTCAATTCCCCCTGGGGTACTTCCACAGTGGATTTAAGGCTACAGTTCAGTCCCAGGAAGAATATCTGAGACAGAACAGGAATGCTTGCCACCTGAACTTGAAGTCCAGCCTTCTAAGAACATCCAAATTTCAGAGTGGAGGTAAAGCAGCGGTCAGAGCCAGGCAGGAGCAGTCAGCAAGAGGGGAAAAGAAGCAGCAAAGACTGTTGTTTGGAAGTCACAGGAGGAAAAGGTTTGGGGGTAGGGGGTGGATGTGGAAAGAAGGATCTGAGAGACGGCCTGGGTGGTGGGAAAAGAACTAGACTCGGCAGCAGAGAATTTCAGGTAGACCTCATCAACCAGTCCTGCAAGAAGGTCACTTCCCCTCTCTGAGCCTCAAGTTCCGCCTCTGCAAAGTTGAGCCCACAGGGGAGCAGTCGTGAGATGCGTTAAGAACTGGAAGCACCCTGAGGAGGTCACTAGTGACTGGGGTCTTAGCAGTTTTAGTTGAAGAGAAACCCAGAGAGCGAAGAGGAGGAGCCTAACATTTACTGGGCAAGTACTTCGAGCCCAGCATTCCACACTTCCCGTCTCTCTGCTTCTCATGACCAGGATACCAAGCAGGTGTAGGAGCCCCGTTTTACCAGTGAGGAAATTGATTCTTGGCTAGTGAGGTGGTTTTCCCCAGGAGGCTGAGTTGGGGGTTGAACTAGGTGTCTCTGACTCTTGCTGGCCGTTCCCAACAGGTGGTACTTTGGAAAGATCGGGAGGAAGGATGCAGAGAGGCAGCTGCTCTCCCCCGGGAACCCCCAAGGGGCCTTTCTTATTCGTGAGAGTGAGACTACTAAAGGTGGGGGCCTGGGAAGGGGCAATGGGAGGCCCAGTTGTTAGGGTGGGGCTAGGAGCCGTGGTGAGGGGCTTGGGTCAGGGCCTGGGCCCAGACCGGGACTGGGGTGGAGGGCAGAGATAGACTGGGACTGGGTTCCAGGGGGTGTGGCCATCCTACTGGGGCCTCTCAAGCTTCAAGAAGGAGAGCAAGGAGGAAAGCCGACTTGAAAGCGAACCTTGCCCACAGGTGGCTACTCCCTGTCCATCCGGGATTGGGACCAGGCCAGAGGCGACCATGTGAAGCATTACAAAGTCCGCAAGCTGGATACGGGTGGCTACTACATCACCACACGGGCCCAGTTCGACTCCGTGCAGGAGCTGGTGCAGCACTACATTGGTGAGGGCTGGCTTCCCGGGCTGGTGTGTGCTTTGGGTCCCCGAGCCAACCCGCTGAGAATTAGGCCCAGAGAAGGAAAGGAGCCCCCAAAGCGGTAGTGGCTGGAGGCTGAACTGGAGCCCAAGTGTTTGGGTTCCCAGCCCAGGATCCTGCTACGTAGGATTCCGGAGGAAACAGGTGTGAGACTGTCCCCGGCCGAAGGGCGCCCCCTACTGTTTAGCAGAGCAGGACGCCAAGTAGACCTGACTTGGAGGATGGGCTTTAGGGTTGAGAGGAAGCTGGAAATCGATGCCCAGGTTGCTGCTTCGGTTAGTTACAACAAAGGTGAGGTCCATGGAAGGGTGAGGCCCTCATGTCCACCCCTCGGTCTCGAATCCCCAACTCCATTTCCACCTGTCAGAATCCCACCCAGCTGGAGGCCACCTCCTGTAGGAAGGAAACCAAACCCTGCAGGGATCATCTCTCCCTCTTGGGGCCACCTTCCCTGGGCACCAACATGGTCACCTACTCAGTGGGTCAGGTGGCCTTCTGCCCCAACCTGTGACCTCACCTGTGGCCTAGTTCTCTCCACTGTTGGGGGAAGGGGGCGGTGCCTGGGATGGGATGAGGAATGTGTGGGGCCTCCTGGCCTGCCTGTGACCTTCAACACCCCCCCACCCCTGCTCCCCAGAGGTGAACGACGGGCTATGCCACCTGCTCACAGTGGCCTGCACCACCATGAAGCCGCAGACAATAGGCCTGGCCAAGGACGCTTGGGAGATCAGCCGCAGCTCCATCGCTCTCGAGCGCCGGCTGGGCACCGGCTGCTTCGGGGACGTGTGGCTGGGTACGGAGGTCCCGGGGGCGGGGCGAGGGCTTGGGACATGGGGAGCCGGTGCTGACGAGCCACGACCACATGGCAGGCATGTGGAACGGCAGCACGAAGGTGGCGGTGAAGACCCTGAAGCCGGGAACCATGTCCCCGAAGGCCTTCCTGGCGGAGGCGCAGATCATGAAGATGCTGCGGCACGACAAGCTGGTGCAGCTGTACGCCGTGGTGTCGGAGGAGCCCATCTACATCGTGACCGAATTCATGTGCCACGGTGAGGGGCGGGGTGAGGAGGCGGAGTCTGGGGGGCGGGACTTGGGTGTCGGGGGCGGGTGGGAGGGGGAGGGACCTGAGGGGTTACTTGTGATGGGACCGGGGACTTTGAGCTAGAGTCGGAGAAAGAGGCCGGGATGAGTGAAATCAAGCGAGTCCTGGGAGTGGGGGCGGGTCCAAGTTTAGATAAGGGGCGGTGGGGGGGCGGAGCCTCGGTCGTGGGGTGGTGGGTCTCCGCAGGTGGCTGGGGCTTGGACGAATGAAGATCGAATCTGTGATGAGGAAGGATCTGGGGCGCAGTCTGAGTGGGACTTGTCTAGGGGGACGGAGGAGGAGAAGAAACGAGCTGTAGGTAGTCTGGGTGCCTGTGGGAGCGAGTCCTGAGCGAGATCTGTGCGGGGTTGAGGCAGCAGGCTGACTTCTAGTGGGGGCGGGTCTAAGTGAGAGGGCGGGGGACAGGGAGCGGGGCCAAGCTGTGAGATGCGACCTAGGTGGGGCGGAGCCAAGCGAGGGAAGGCGGGCCTGGAGCTGGGGGTGGTCTTGCTGATATTTCTTTTCTTTCTTTTTTTTTTTTTCCTCTTGCTGATATTTCTGAGTTCCTTTCCTCAGGTAGCTTGCTGGAGTTCCTCAAGGACCGGGAAGGCCAGGATTTGACACTGCCCCAGTTGGTGGACATGGCAGCCCAGGTAAACTGGGACAGCAACCTTTATTTCAGATTGCTCTCCTATTAACCTCCACAAATCCGTGTGCCCCCAAACACCTGCCCTACCCCGGGAAGTACATACAGCCCCATCCACTGAATCATCTGTGCGACCTGAGACGGGGCACTGCCCATCTCTGAGCCTCAGTCTCCTCATCTGGAAAGTGGGGTTTTCAAGTGATCTCTCACACAAGCCATGGTGTTTCTGTTCCCATTTCTCCATAACTTGGCCCCCCCACTAGGTGGCTGAGGGCATGGCCTACATGGAACGCATGAACTACATCCACCGCGACCTGAGGGCAGCCAACATCCTTGTTGGGGAACGGCTGGTGTGCAAGATCGCTGACTTCGGACTGGCCCGTCTCATTGAGGATGATGAGTACAACCCCCAGCAAGGTGATGTGCCTCACCTCACCTTCCAAGAGCTCCCTGGCACACTAAGGGGTTGTCACGGGACCCCACATATTCAAGAACCATTCCCTCCACTCCCAGAACATCTGGGATACTCCCATCCTGATGTAGTAGAAGAGGCAACTCTAGGTTTGAATCTCTGCTCCTCTACTTACTAGCCAAGTGGCCTTGGGCAAGTCATCTGACCTCTGTGAGCTGTTTTTTCTCATAACTAAAATGAAAATATTCAGAGAAAAGGAAGTCAACAGATATTTATCAAGCACCTAGTATACGCCAGGCACTACCGTAATTCTCAAGGGAAAGACAGGGGAGTGTAATGGTGTGAACTCTGTAGGCAGAATGTCTGGGAGTGAATGTGAACACTTCAAAGCTAAGTGATCTGGGCAAGTCACTTAACTAGTCAGTGCTTCCTTTTCCAAATCTGTACAATGAGGATAATAATAGTATCTACCTCGCAGGGTTTTTGTTTTTTTGTGAGGTTAAATGAGTTAATGCCTGTAAATCACTTTAAAACAGTGCTGGCAGGGGCACCTCGCTGGCTCGGTTGGAAGAGCATGCAACTCTTGATTTCAGGGTCGTGAGTTTTTGAAAGTTTATTTATTTCGGTAATCTCTACAGCCCACATGGGGCTCGGACTCACAACACCAAGATCAAAAGTCACAAGCTCTTCTGGAGCCAGCGCCTGGAGCCAGCCAGGCGCCCCACCATGCCATTCTCTTAATCCAGCTGTTCCAGGGACCTCCTCGATGACTCCCCCTTCTCTCCAAATCTCTCCAGGGGCCAAATTCCCCATCAAGTGGACAGCCCCGGAGGCTGCTCTCTTTGGCAGATTCACCATCAAGTCAGATGTGTGGTCCTTTGGAATCCTGCTCACTGAACTCATCAGCAAGGGCCGAGTACCCTACCCAGGTTTGCTGGAGTGGGGAGGTGGAGACGGGTGGGCGGTCATGGGGACAGTTTCCTCCTGGTTGCCTCTTTGGAAGGGGCTAGGCCCCCTGATTGACAGAGCCTCTCCCTCCAGGCATGAATAACCGGGAAGTGTTGGAACAGGTGGAGCATGGCTACCACATGCCGTGCCCCCCCAGGCTGCCCAGCATCCCTGTACGAAGTCATGGAGCAGACCTGGCGTCTGGACCCAGAGGAGAGGCCCACCTTCGAGTACCTGCAGTCCTTCCTTGAGGACTACTTCACCTCCACAGAACCCCAGTACCAGCCTGGGGATCAGACATAGCCTGTTTGGGCATTCACCACCTTTCTGGGGTGCCCACCAATCCCTTCCAGTCCCCAGGGCTCTGGTCCCAAAGCCCCCAGGCTTAGAACCCTATAGGATCCTAGCATGTCAGAACAAGCAGGTTGCTCTGACACCACCTAGGGCACCCCACTCATTTTAAAGATGGGGCCATTCCAGGCTTAGAGATCATCCCTGACTCTGGCCCCAAGCACTATTTCTCCCCTTCCCACTTAGGCTCCTACCTCTAGACTCTCTTCCCACCTCTCCCCCAAAACAAATGCTCAGACTTTGTCTAGTTATTTATAAAATTGTATATCCTTTCCATCACTCACCTCCTATCCCTGGTTTTTACCATATCATCCCACCCTGAGTTCACCTCCTACTCAGTTCTCTTGCGTCTGTAAGTTGCAAAGGCAGGGTAAGTTTTTGCTGGAACCCTTTCTTGCTGGGTGGACGCTGTGGTCCGGGTCTGGGGTCCAAGCCCAGGGTGAGGGAGAGGCTTGCTGAGGACCCACCACCTCTCTGAATCATGTGTGTGTTTATTGCTTTTTGTAAGTAAGAAAAGTGACAATATGAATCCTTGAGCCATGAAAATCCCTTCTGTTAGGGGGAACGGTGGCCAGAGGAAGGTGAGTGTGATTGCTCTGGCTACTGGAAGGAGGGGGAGGTAAGAGCATGCCCTAATGCCTACTGAACACAGGGAACTCACAGTGTGTTTGGGGGTACCCAGAAGTCCTGAGGCTTGTCCCCATGTGAGTTTAGGACAGGTTGAGAGATGGATACAGAAGATAGGCAACTGGAGCTCAAAACGTCCCCTTCGTTACTGAAGTGGCTTTCAGTCTGTGTGCCGTGGGTTTGTTAATTCCCTACTTGATTTCAGCAGATACATCCTTCATCCCTGGCACAAGAGCAGAACCTATTAGGCCTCTCTTGACAGGGGCAGTGGGGAAGACCACAGTGGACTCTGCAGCTCCCCAAGAAAAGGATAGAAGGGCGGGGAAGGGAGAGAGGTCGGAGAGCTAGTCTAGCTCATTGGATTTCACTCCAGACAACTCTGACCCCTACGGGGTCTTGGAGAGGATTGAAGGAAGTTTTGTTGGGTCACAAGGACTGGGGGCTCCTATTGGCATGTAGTGAGACAGGGATTGGGGGTACTAAACAACTCGCTAGACACCTGAGCAATGAAGAATTGTCCCATGTCCTTGCTGCTGCTGTGAGAGACTCTGGCCACTGATGTGCCTCCAGGTGGAAACAAAAGGAACAGGAGTAAGGGTTCCCACATGTCCCATCAGGAGGTCATGGACTGCTGATCTGAAGGGAATGGACAGGGTTAGGGGTGGGGAAGAATCTGGGAGCTAGGAGTCACTGCTGCAACTGGCAGACAATTACTAAGCATTAACTCTGGGAAGGTCCGTTTGCTAGGCAGGACCCCAGACCTGTCTCTGTCCTGGAGGAGTTCACAGCCAGTATGGGGAGAAAAAGGAATAATAATAACTCACTTATTAAGCACTGCATGCCAGAATGTGTTTACATCCATCTTTTCATTTAATCCAGTTCTGAGTCTGGTTCTATGACTAGCCCCCATTGACAGATGAGGAAACTGAGGCTTTGGGGTTACATGGTGTACCAAGGTCACACAGGTGCATGGGACCGAGCTGGGACACCAGGGTCACACAGGTGCATGGGACCGAGCTGGGACGTGAACCTAGGTCTCATACCAAGGCCCACGATCTTTCTAGACTCTGGGCTTTGGGAAGAGATCTGATCTACCCCGGGTAGATATGTGGAGGATCCTCCCCCCTCTAGACATTTTTAGAAGGTTCCCTGGAAATGCCCCCACGTTGAGTATCCTAAGGAAAGGGGACAAGGTGGCCAATGCAGGTTGAGTTCCCCGTACTGAGCCGTCTTGGGGATCCCTGTATGGGAGCAGTAAGATGGAGAGAGGCCAAGAGGCTGCTGAGAGGGGTGGTTCCAGGGGTGGGATCCTTAGCTTTGCACACTTAAACTCAGGGTCCATGGCTTCCCAAGAGCCTGTCTCAGGCTGACTGAACTCACACGAGCCTGACACACAAGCCAGAAGTCAAATGTGTCCGCCTCCATGGGGTAAGCAGATCAGAGCCCCGCCCTGGAGCTGCAGGCCTGGTGAGATGCTTGCCGCCACCACTTGCTCACTGTGTGACTTGGGGCAGGTTATTAATCTCTCCATGCCTCAGTTTCCTCCTCTGTGAAATGGCAATAAAATGTTCAACTCGTGTTTGCCCTCTCTGTCACTACCACTTACAGATTATGTATTCTCTGCTGGGCGTCCTGCGAAGCACTTGCCGCCATTGAAACTTCACAGAAATCCATGAGGAGAAGGCTGTTGTATCTTCATTCTACTAGGAAGGAAACTGAGGCACAGTGAAGTAAATAGTTTTAAGTAGTAGGGCAGGGGCTTGAACTAGGCCCTCTGACTCCAAAATCAGTGTGCTTAATCCCTACAGCTCTTTCTCCTGGGACCAGAATATTCTTGCCTGTCCAATGGGGCTATACCTTGTACCTGGACACCTATTTGGTTTAAATGAAGGCCCAGCAGAATAGTGAACCTCTTGGAGTTGACCCTCGGTGCTCCGCAGCAGAGACCAGAGCCCACTGAGCTTGGAATCCCTATTTCTACTGGTTCCCTACCCTCCCTCTAGTGCGGCCAAATGAATTCTCCCTTGCACCCCCTTTTCTGTGCATGCTTCTGTTCCCTTCTGATAGAGCACAATGCAATTGATTAGACCTCTGTTTTCTCAATTTCAATCACATCCTGGCCCTGCCTCCCTGAGATTACAGGCGGGTCACCTTGATTGTGGTTTCCACCGTTCACAAAACTCTTTAGTCATTTACGAAACCATCTCTCGCCTCATTCACTCCCCCACCTGGTTCTTGTCCTCTGTGATGCTGTGTGGGTTTTACTGTCTTAAGACTCAGAGGGCAATTTTATTTCCAAGTTCGTGGTGGTGGAGGAGGACACCTAATTGATGAATGCTGGCATCATCTAATTTGATCCCCACTACGAGGCTGTGCAGAAATGTGATTATTCCCATTGTACAAAAGAGGAAATGAAGACTCCGTGAGGCTTCAACATTTGCCCAAGGTCACACAGCAGGATGACAGAGTCAGAATTTGAACCCTTGCACTTCAAAGTGTCATGCAATCACACTGTGTGATAATCTCTTATTTAATGGAGCAGCATGGAAACATATAATAACAACCTAGAGTCAAGTTCGGGGAGGGCATAGTGCAGATGAGTCTGGAGCAGCCCCGTATATGTCGAAGGTTATATTCATAAAAGAACCAAGTCATTTAGTAATTTTGCACACATTTACTGATGTCTCCTGTAAGCTAGTCCTGACCAGGAGGCAGAGCAGTAAATGATTACAACACTTAGGGGCAAGGTCACTCTGGAGACCAAGGGAGACTTCTTAGAGGATGTGAAAGAAAAATCTGCCTGATGAAGCAGCCAGAGGGTGAGATCATCTCACATGGGGGGAACAGCATGTGCAAGGGCTCAGAGATATGGTAGAGCAAGGCCAAGTCAAGCAAGTGCAAATAATTATGTATGAGAGGATTGAGGGTGCAGATGAGGCATGGAAGAAGGTTGGGAGGTCAGAGGCAAAAGGCAGAAGGGTCAGAAATCCAAGGGGTATGGCCCCTGAGTCGTGGAGAAAAGTCACAGAAGAAATCTGGGGGATGGCCAGGACTTATTGGGGGTACCTATATTGGATCCTATTGTTTTGGTACTGAGTTGGGTGGACCTACTACCTACTATCTACTCCAGTAGTTCTCTCCCCCTCCCCATTTTATACACACACACACACACACACACACGCACGCACGCACGCACGCACCAGCTCCTGGACCGTCCTACAGTGATGTCCATGCTCCCTCTAGTGTCCATTCTGGGTACTACACCCAGAACTCAAGGAAACTTTCCCCTGGTATGGGAAGACTAGGTCCCTTTCGGAACTTCCCACCAGAGGATGGTAGTTTCCTGCTCTCTTAATGGTAGTGAGGGGAATAGGACAGGCACAGGCTGAAAATGACGATAAAGGATGTGTAGGAATAAAAGGGTCGGGTCCTAATTCAACTGGACAGGAGGAAGTCAGGAAGGCTACTCATTGCAGGTGTTGCGTCACCAGAAACTTGCAAAGGGAGTAAAAATTTTCTTGGTAAAGAAGGAAGAGAAGGACATTCTAGACTTGACAGAATTAAGTGAGCTCAGAGGGGACCATGCAGGGAGTTTCAATTAGGTAGGTGTGACTGGAGTGTAAAATTTGAGGGGCATTAGTGGCTAAAGATGAAGATAACCAGGTAGGTTACCATGGGGCATGTCTGCCATGCATTCGGGCTAGGATTCTAGGCCGTGGATAATGGAAAGCCACAGGATTTTGAGCAAAGGAGTAACAAAGTCAGATTCATTTTTCAGAATGAACCCCCTGGTGACCAATGCAGAGGAGGAATGGGAGGGGAAGAGGTAGGACAGGGATATACCTCGTGATACAAAGAACCACACGAGATCCCACTAATAGAAGGATGCATAGCTTTGAGCAGGTCTGTGAACCATACATATCGATACATGTGATGTGACCTCCAGACACATCCGTGGGATCTCATGCTGAGCACCCACAGACAAACAAATCCATAGTAATACACACTCAGATGCAGAACTCAGGTCCATGAGCCCAGGGGAAACCAAAAACATACAATTACCTCCAGACACAGGCTGACAGTGAGAACCACACATACCATACCTTGACAGACCCAGGAATTCTCTCGCACAAGCACACACTCTCACACACACACACACACACACACACTCACACATGCAGTGTGGCTGTCAGGGGCCCTACTCTGCCCCCTTCTGTGTACCCATCCCCCCTCCCACCCCCCCACCCCCCCACCCACCCCCTCCTGTCCTTCACCACCTCCAGCAGGAACAAAGCTGACCTTTGCCCTCTGGCCTCTGGCCTCTCCTCCCACACCCCTTGCCCAGAGGGAGGAGCTGTTTGAAGTCTGGGCTGCAGCTGGGGTTTCCTGTTGCCTGGAGGAATGTGGGAGGACATGGCGGGTGGGGGAGGCTAGCCCAGGAGGAGGGATAATGGGGACCTGGGGGCCTTAGTTCCCACTGTACCATTATGAAGAGGGGCTTCCTGCTTCCAGGATCTCTAGGGCCCCAGCTCTGAGCTGTTCCCATCCTGAGGAGGGGAAGACCGAGGCCCTAAAGGCTCTAGTCCATTGAGTCTCTTGATTCCTGGATCGGTAGCTCAGAGGCTTAGAAGAGTCCCTTAACTTCTCTCAGCCTCAGTTTCTCCTTCTGTGGACTGGGCTGAACCACTCTCTAGCAAACCACACCTCCCCTGAGGTGAGCTCCAAGAGTGGGGCTAGCCCTAGTATTTCTGTAATCAGGGAAGGCAATGCCCATGCCCACCCAAGCCTCACTTCCCTCTGCCTTTTCCATGAGCCCCAAGGGCCTGTCTCCAGGCTGCTGTGACCTCTCAGTTATTGTCATTGTTATTCTCATGACTCAGTCCCTCAGCTCGCCCTTGCCAG